CCCATAAAAAAATGTACACTTCCTAGACCATGCAGTCTTCAAAATAAAAATTGTAACCTTTGGTAATAAAAAAAAATACATTTTCCGCATACATAGAAATTTTTGAAACTTTATTAAAAAAAACCTAAACCATAATTCACCACACTATAGAAACTTTTTGACAAAAATGAAAAATTACGACTTTGTTACCCAATGAGAAGTGTTATAATATAGACAATGGGTCGTGTCTCATATTATTTGTTATATTTTTATTATTCATTATTTTCACTTGACTCGCATAAATAATTTTGTTCGAAGAACATTTATATGCAGTTGTACTTCGCAGCACTTCACTTGCAATTTGCAATTTCTAGTTTCTATTACAAGTTTTCTGACTAGACCGAATCCAAAACCAAAATATATAATATTCATACCTTACCTCTGACTGCTCACCTGAGCATGGCAAAACTATGCATTTGATTTATTCAACTTCAGTGGTGCATAGACCCTAACAGACCTCAGTGGCCTCATGGGATATGCAGCTGCCTTTAAGACTCCAGACTCCAGTCCAGATAATAAATAAATATATAAACATCTATAAATCTAACAATTTCAGGTCAACATTTAAGGTTACATATGTAGTTGTACAATAAAGATACAAGCGTGGTAATATAATATCAAATTATTTATTACTGTATAATAATATGGTACCTATGGTCTTGAATCATTGATTAGGGAGTGTCAAAGATGAATAGATCTTTGTTAAAGGTTAAAAGATCTTTTAATCAAAATATTTGTACTGATATTGAAATTTTAGTTTGTTGTAAAGGTTTGTACAGTGTTCTGTTTCTCTTGTTTGCGTTTAAGATCACCAATTAAATTTATAGTGGTATGAAATGCGTTTCCATGTGAAAGAAATATTGATGTTAAGACAATTATAATAATAAGACAATTATAGTCCTTCAAATTAAATAATGTATGTCGGTTGAATGCACAGAATGAGTCTTAAATTGAACAATAATACTTAATTTCACTGAAATAGTACATGATTGATAATAAAATAAATCATATACTGAATCTGTATAAATAGTGCAAATTGCAATTGGTTCATCTTTGATTACAATCAAGCATTTTTTATTTGTTGTAAAAATTTATGCAAGCATTGTATTTTCAGGTTAGCTTTCAAATATTTCAAACAAATTGGAGAGCGAAACAGGAAATTGCTGTTTTTAATCAACTTTAGCCAGGGATTATTATAAGAAACAGATTTTTTTTTTTATAAAACAAACATTAGCGTTGAAAATACCTCCTTGAAAAGAAGGTGTGATGAACACATCTCTTTGTGTTGGGTATTTTGTAGCATTTGTCAATATTTAACATTGAACAATAGAATGTTACAAATGGAATTTTATGAGGTTTTCAAATATCCTGATTATTAATTGATGACAATGGAGCTGTGATCCATTCCGTTTTGGTGTATTTGCCTACCACTTTATTTTACTCTCCACATTAGCAGGTAAATATGGCCAGGTGTCTTATGTATATTAAAGGTTGATAGCAACTGCTTCAGCTGTAGACAATTGAACCTGGTTCATGGACGTTGGGTTGTTTGTCCATGTTTTATTTACTCCATGTTGTGCCAACTCAGGAAAACGCCATCTCAGTAGCTATAACAACATACATTGGTCAAAGGTTTTATTAATTTTTCGACTTCCAATGAAGTCAAACTTCCAAACTTTAATTAAATTTAAATAAGCACTTTTTTTTGTTGAATATCCACATAGTTGGAAGTAGTGCATTTGTAATCTTGCATTAACCTCAACATGGTTGTCCCATATTAAATAGATTTATGAGGTGTCCACTGTAAGAGCTATTAAAGTGAAGCTTGCTTTGTGAACCATTAATATTAGTTGATATGTTGCCTCTTAAGCACTATATCCATGATGTCAGCAACATTGACAATCAGCAACCATTTCGCTCTTACATGCACTACTTCCCCTTGTGCTATACCGGACTATACCATTGGAGCACTGTACAATACTACGGTAGATAAAGTATGTACTGAAATTGCCATTGACAAGAGCCAATAGGATTTCTCAATTCAAATATTTGCAAGGATTATAGTAATTTTTTGGATTATTCTATGAAAAATGTATTCATAATGTACCTTAAAAAAAACCTCAATAAAGAATGTACAGCTCTAGTAGGCCGCAGCTAAATCAACAAAATATTTTATAAAATCTTGTCAGATACTTTCATTTTGGCAGACTTAAGAAGTGGTCCATAAAGTGAAGGGAAGAAAGGGGAAACCACACATTCATAATATGTTGGCTCCTAAATTGTAGGACTAGTGTGTCTAGTAGTAATGTAAACAGGAAAATGTATGGCTTTATAGAAATTTGAACCAAAGTCAAATAATAGGAAAATCAGAGGAAATCAATACAGTAATAATTTTGATACAGTTAACCTGTTTGTATGATCGCAATCATGAGTCTCTTTTTATTTGTTTATGATTCATAAAGCAAATTTTCAGTGACTGTTCAAATTCTCTATCGTAAAATGTTAACAACTCATATAGTTATTATTATAGAAAATTAATTATTCGAATAATTATTGGTCTATTATGAATTATGAGGAAATACGTTTTTGAACCGTAGACGGCAGCTTAATATTCATCCGCGTTGCCAAATTTCTACAATTTCGTCTGCTATTAAAGTTAGCCCTTTTCATTTTTTAGTTTGATAGTCATGGCTTGCCAGTCGTCTTAAGTTGAACTAAAACTTCGACTAAGTTTGGGAATACAAATTGAAGTTGAAGTTGGAACTAGCACTAAATGAAGTTCTAGTTCGACTAAATTTTGTTTTAAGAATAAGGGCGTTAGTCACTTAAAGAAACATCACTGTATATATACGTTACAACTATACTGTACAATAGCCAAGACTGTAAATAACAATGTTTTTTCCCTGATAACATTTGATTCAACCTTATGTGAAAGTATAACTTAGTAGGAAGTTGTTATTTAACTCCCTGCTCAAAAAAAAATACATGCCATAATAAATGTCAAACTACTAAGTCCCAACACGATGGCGTGTATTACATTTTGATTTGAATTTAATAGGGTTCACTTTTGAATCAAAGCCACCCATAATATTAGTAATTGTGCATCCAGAATACAAACTTACAAAACAAAAAGATACTAAACTAAAACAACGCAAAATATTGTTATTCATAACACTGTAATTATTAGTTACATAACTATACACATTAGGTCAGATCAAATGTTAAAGTATATCAGGAAAAGGTAAAATTAATTACACCATCCTTTCTCGTACGAAAGTTAATTTACACATTGTTATTGTATACAGTCTTGGCTATTGTACAGTAAAGGTGTTACGTAATATAATGTGTCTTTGAGTAACTAATGTACTAACAATCACTAGTAAGTTAACTCCATTGGTTTACTTTTTGGAATATGCGATAGAAATAATGCCATTAATTGTTCTGTAGTCATAGCAATTTTAATTTTATTTACTTATTCATTTTTGGCAAGTTTTATTATACAATTATAGACTTGTTTTGTGCTCTGTGAGTTAACAGGTAAGGAAGCGATTTTTGAACGACGTTGTGGTGGCGGCATTTTATTGGACACGATACCATATCTCTAGCTATGACAATTAAAGTATTTACTCCATGATCAAATTAACATGTCTTTCCAAAAAAGGTCAGATGTAATTATGATTACCTGTGTACAGGTGAAATTTGTCAGGAATCTCCTTGGACAGAATTTTTTTTTTAACTTTACTCATTATGTTTTTCAAGACCTTGAAAATCAATTAAATTACTCACTAATTGGCTAGAAATACATAGTTACTGTACCTGTGGATTCACACCCTGGAATCCATCAGAGATCAGTGCCATACCCCATGCTACTAGCGCTGGATCAATTATTAATCTTCATGATGTCATTTAGTAGCCATTCACAAGGTGTTGCCATTCAGATCACAGAGCACCATAAAGCTCAGGCCCGACTATCAAATTTCCTTTGACAAACAACTGTTGTATGTCCATATATAGTCCTGATGTTCCTATATATGGTCATTCAGGGTTGTAGCTAATGAAAACTAAGGGTGGGGATAGATATTTTGAGGGTGGGTGCATGATAACATTGGTAAACTCTAGATAATACAAGTAGATTTTAAGGATGGAAAAGTGGGTTAATAAGGGTGGGTGAAAGGCCATGAAATTAGCTTTAGACTGGGTGGAAAACTTCAAGGCTGGGTGGCTCCACCTACCTCCGCCCACTATAACTACATCCCAGGTCATTATGTGATATCATGACCATATTTAGGCATGTCACATGTTTTTGTCAAATAAAGCCTGAGAGTCTTTACAGGACTTCAAAAATAGAGGTCTGTTCAATCAACATTTACATCAGATATTTGTGGGGGAGGGGGTGGGGATGGGCACCTTTATATATGCCATCTGATTATGAGATAAATAAAATTATGAATTCTGAATATACAATTGTGACTTGAATAGCATGTTCAAGGCACCCAACAATCAGACTGAGGCCTACAATCAATGTGGCATAAACAAGAATGTTTTATGCTAGAATCCTCTCTATGAATGGATAAATCTTCTAATATACAAGCATTGCTATAGATATCAACATTTTATAGCAAGTTTAATTTTAAACTTTGCAAAAGTCAAATTTAAGAAAAATGTTTAAAAACTCTGGAAAATTGTCTATATATTATTTAGATTATTTAAAAATTAGTCTAACATTAAAAGAAATATTTATATATTTTAGGGGGAGGGAGGTGGGAAAGGGGATTCCTTATTCACTAAACCCCAACCAGGGCCTTTCATGACACCTGACCAACTATATACAGTATAAACCTGTGCATTGTCTCTGTATTTTGGCTGCAGAAATGAAAATTCATCATGAAAAACTATTTCATCACATTCCTAGGAAAATGCTATCAGTACTTTTTTTTTAATTATAAATTAATAAAAACAAAATTTTTCCAAATTTTTCTTTGTCATCAAACATCAAATCCAGTATTCAGTTTGCTAAAATGTTGGACTAACAACAGAATCATTGGAAATAATGTCACGTTTTTATTGTCAGTCCAGTGTTGAAATGTTTTAATGGGATTAATTCAGTAAAGTTGGATTCAATAGGGATTATTGGGAGCTATGAGGTTTACGAATAAGTTATGGTCCATCGTTATCATCAGATATTTTTAGTCAACAGCAATCTAACAGGATTTAGATTGGATTGTCCTAGAAGTCAATAATATCAAATAACCTACTCAATCAATCAATCAGATTGTATCTCATTACATCAATGGGATTAATTATGAATTTCAGATGGATTTAAATATGATTAGATAGTAGTTTATTGGTTTCCTAACAAAGTATTGATAGTCATACGAGATATATAATTATAATAGATAGGATTCAGTAGTCATGGAAGAGGGTGGGAGTAGAACTAGGTAGGAGGTAAATAATCACTTGAAATTTATCCAGTAATCATTAGGATAAAACTAATTTATAATGAAGATAAGAAGAAATATAGAGAGTAGGCTACTTTGATGAAATAGAATGAGGAGGTGCGAAAGCCATAGAGAGTTCATACTGTACAATGTACAATATTTGTGTCACAGAAGTAGGGCTAAGCTTCAGAAATACTCTTCAAACCCTCATAGATCAATTATGATAAACAGTTATATATTAAGATTAATATCACATTTATATGTAGGTTTTGATTGTTCAGTGACTGTTTATGTTAGAATATATTGATTTATAAAAAAAAATGTAATGTTTAATTTGTTGAGTCAGCAGAGAAAGACATCATCTTGAAACATTGTTAAGTATTAATAAAATAAATAATTTTTAAAAATGTTGAGTTCCATTTGCACTTATTCTGAATGCAGATAATCATTTAGTCATTTGCATGTCCTAAAGGTTTATGTAAATTTAAGTATGAAAAAAGATGATGAGTTGAATGGCAAGCTGTCAGTATATCAATTTGTTAATCAGATACAAACAAATGATGTATTATACAAATGAGTCTAAACAATTAAAAACACCTCACATTATTTAGAGTCCCATAATTGAGTAAAAGAGGTTGTTGGCTATATTTTTTCTTAAATTGTTCAGCCAACCATATCAGAGTGATATCAATTTGTCTGGGACTATTTTTTTTTCTCGGGCTATTGTCTTTCTGGGGCTATAGTTTTTCTGGGAATATAGTTTTCTGGGGCTGTTGTTTTTCTGGGCTATGGTTTTGCTGGGCTATTATTTTTCTAAAACTATTGTTTTGCTGAGATATTATTTTTCTGAGGCTTTTGTTTTTCTTGGGCTATTCTGGGCTATTAAGATTCAAGATTCCATTTATTGTCATATACAAGCAAAGTACATAAAATAATATTAATATTCATTATTATTTTTACCAGCACCACATCAGTTTAATTTTGAATACTGCTTTAACGTGATGACAATAAGAATTATCTTGTATGTGATATATCTCTACATGATTCCTTATGACAGTATTCATTAGTTTGATTATTTTTAAATTTAAATTGTCATTTGTCATTCTTCCTCATTTCTACCTGTTTCCAAATACAAATATTAGGACATTTTAATTGTGTTCTCAAATAGTTTATTTAATTTTTTATATTCCTATATTTTTGTAATATAAATTATTTTGTCATAAGATGTGAAAACCTCCAAAACATTGAGACAGTTTTAAATATATTTTTAATTTTTTTATGTTAATTTACAAACCTTTACCTCAAAAATTTCAAAATTTATTTACTATCCAAATTAAAAGTCTTTGTAAAAGACTATAAATTTATTATTTAATTAGTAAGGAAAAATCTTTTAAATTTCCTTTTGAAATGTAATTTCTTATTTTAGTATGGAAAAGTACAGTATATATAATTCAAATATTGATATTTTTTCTTGGCAAACATGAAACCTTAAGACTCATGCCAAACAGTGTATCATCTCTAATTAGTTTGTATTTTTTATGAGGACCACACACAATGAACCAATTTAGTGACATGTTCAATGCTGCAGAGCAAACAATAACAATGACTCCTATAATCTTTACTATTGTAAAAGCTATTGACCTTAAACAGAAAGAACAATAGATTATATTCATGTCATTATAGAAGTTCATAAATTATTTTATAATGATAAAGTCAGACAGAAATTGGTTTAACTAGTAAATTTTCGCAATTAATTCTCATCCATGCATTACTCTATTCAAAGCAACATACTTCAGAGACAGATTTATCATTTTTTATTGCTGCTCAGAATGATCTGGAAAGTTATTCAATAAAAAATGTATTATTGCTGTTCCTTGGGGAATTTATTACTGCAAGAACAGTTCATCCCTATATTGGTTTCCTGCATTAAATTGTCCAATTTAGGTGTATTGGGCTGAAAAGTTTGCATATTGATAGAAATAAATAATGGATAAATACATTGATAAAATATACAATTTTAAATATTTTTTATATTTCAGAATGGTTCCAGACAGGTGCAGGAAGGCGTTTTGTCGCAGATTTTCTGTGGGATCGTTCTCATTAGTCTTCGTCTATATCTCATGGGAAATACTCCTCCGGAATTCTCTCCGTCCGATAATCCTGCCTCCGATTCAAATAATACTTTAACAAGATCATTGACTTTCCATTTTCTTCCTGCGTTCAATGTATGGCTTATGTTGTGCCCTTACAAACTTAGTTTTGATTGGTCGATGGAGGCAATACCTTTAGTTACATCACTACTAGATGTTCGCAATATAGCTACAATTTCCATGTATCTAATACTTTTTTACACTGTAATATACTGTGTCCAGGGACTTAATTCACTGCAACACCAATCATCTCCAAATTCTATTTGTAAGCATCCAGATTGTTCAAATTACACCAAAATGCAATTTAAATTTTCCAATGGACACAAAAACAACCATCACTATGATTCCAATGGGAATGGACATTTTAAAGGTGATGCCTTGCGGAAGCGATGCCCTCCTTATAGACTAAATCAACCAATTGGTGCTCTCTCATTCTTAGATATTTTTTCACCAGACAAGATATATATAAAAAGCGAGGAGCGAAGATCGCTGAATGTAATTCTTATTGGTTTATCACTGCTAGTTTTTCCTTTTCTTCCTGCAACAAATTTATTTTTCTATGTTGGATTTGTTGTTGCTGAACGAGTGCTATACATTCCAAGTATGGGTCTATGTCTATTGGTTGCGGAGGGTACGTATCAACTTTGGAAGCGGAATCAAGATACGAACCAAAAGTTAGTCTTATTCGCATCCGTCTTCATTCTGGTGCTTTTTGGTCTTCGAACAATTATACGAAACAGAGACTGGCAAAATGAGGAGGCACTCTATAGGTCAGGAATTGAAATCAACCCAGCCAAAGGTATGAATTATGATATACTGTGTTAATAATAATTCCAATATCCACTGAAATTTAATACACTTTCAATATTAACAGTAATATTATCTTTGTTATTACTCTATCCTAATATCATATTATGTAGTATAAAGTGTATAATTTCTGGTGTTCACGATGAGTGCTATAAACGTTATTGGAAACCTTATTTAATATGCATCTTTTCAGCACATGATATGAAGTTTTTTTTTCTAATGTGAATTTTTTTTAACATGAGTGAATATTACTTTTGATATATAAGCACAGGTTCAGTTTCTGTCACCTTAGTAACCGAACTTTAATATCTTGATATTATTAAATGCATGTTCTCTGTGTTCGTTAACTGTCTTGAACAAGAAATTCAATATTTGAATTGCTTACTTTGTATATTTAAATAAGTTAGCTTCCAATAGAAAATTACAAGAAAATTTTTAGTCATCTGCGGAGGACCGTACAATTCACTAACAAAATGATTGCTCTTTGCACAAGCTCGTAAACCGTTATTATGATGAACCGTGTATTAGAATTGGCAATCGTCATCTTTGTGATACTGGTCAAGCTAAAAAGCTAACAGTCAAGGATCTCATTCAATAGTTGGACCTAGCATAATAAGTTGGATGCTAAACATGACTGCCCATTGGGATGTGACTGGCAGCAGTAGAAGGAACCAAACTGTCCTGTACTGTAATCAGCATTATATACAGTAATTAGATGTATAAATAAATACCCATCCTTACTTTGGCTAGTAGCAATTTTAAAAGGATTTTTTCCTTAAAGATAAATCAAAGAAAATGGAATTGTTTTGAAGTTCATGACTTTTCGAACCCTAAATGAATTAATTTTTGAGGGGTTTTTTTTCCCAGATTTGATCAGTTACTCTACTTTTTTTTGACTAAAAGGATTTGCTGAGCTCATATGCAAAGTGTTATTGAATTGTTTAAGAAAAAACAAATGTATGTTCTTTATTTCTTAACCAGCCTGGGGCAACCTAGCAAACATCTTGAAAAATAAGGGGAAGTTTAGGGAAGCAGAACAAGCATACAGAAGTGCATTGTCCTACAGAGGAAACATGGCAGATGTACACTACAACCTGTAAGTTACTTATCAATCTAATCTGACATGCCTAAATATGGTCATGATTGCATTATACCGTGACCATATATAGGCACATTGTGACTCTATATGGGCATATGATAGTTTTTTTGTCAATACTATATTGATAGTCTGGACATGGCTTTATATTCTAAATGAGACCAGTAAATTGACATTAAAAATGGTTTTTAATATTTAATAGTTTTTTTTATATGTAAACAATATTGTGCAAACTAGTCAATAATATTGGTTGCCCAATAAAAAAAAAAGGCTGTACATTATTTTTGACAATTAAATACTACAATATTCAACAAAAGGTTAAACCTTTCTTCTCAACACAAGATTACAAACCATAAAATATTCCCTTGTGTTGAGAACAAAATTCAACTTTTGTTAATATGAATACAACATGAACTAGTATTTAGATATTAGATACAATGTGTTTTAATACATTTTAAATGAATCTGTTTTCAATTAAATACAATATAGATGAAACAACTTCGTCATTACAGTAGTTTATTTTAATTGTTCAGGTAATGTTCAAGCTATTGATTCAAATAATGTAAACAAATTGGTAGAAACGGTACTTGAATAATATTTTAAATTCATATCAAATCGATGTAGTTGATGGCAGGGGTGGATCCAGTAGTTTAGCCACTCAATTTAAAAAATGTCCAGAAATCGATGTTGTGTGCTTTTGAAAAATTGTAGATCCACCCCTGGATGGTGATCCACATAAGTCTTGATAGTGTTCTACATATGTCTCAATTGTAGAGTAATATTGCAGTGTAAAAACAAATGGCTGTGACACATACTTTGAGACATACATTTACTAAATAACATTTTCGGCAGCGCCTGCTGCCTTCTTCGGCATATGAGTGTCTGAACAACTGTCAGGAACTTGCTGTGTGTAAAGAATTTCTGACACTAATATCTGCAATATTGAAAACAATTTTCACCATATGCTACATAAAAATACAGTTTCTATAAATAAATATTGTAATGAATTGATTGAATACTACTGAAAAAATTTAAAAAAATTATAATAGGTGATTGATTTTATGAATTGATTGCCTACAAAAACAATATCCATAACAAACAAAAATAATGTTAACTAAATTTTTAATATATTTTTTTTAGACTTTGCTTCATTAACCATACTAATCACCTTTAACTGTAGTACATATCAGCATCATAATTATGTTGAACATTAATGTGTAGGACTTGTATTTAGATAACAAGTAATTGCAAATGAAATTACTTGCTTACCAAATTAGTACTTTTTAATGGACTCCCAGCTTTGCCGTGTGTATTATTCATTATTAGTTCTCACTATGTTGAAGCAGAACAATACCATGCACTCGCATTTGTTATCTTAATTGAGGAACAAGAAAATTTATTAGAGACGGCAATTTTCGTTATTGATTTTGATCCTTGAGAATGTATTACATTACATGAAAACAATGACGACAATCAACTTCAATTTATTATTAATATTACATAGCATTGTTTCTTAAGGAATTATTCAAAAAAGATTGCAATGTTTTTTAATGTTTAAGGGGAATATTATTACAAGAGAATGAACGATATGAAGAGGCCATTAGCAGTTATCGTATGGCTATCAGATGTCGCCCAAGACTTGCAAGTAAGTTTTTAGCAATTCTAAATGTATAAATTGAGTATCCTGTCAGGAATACTGTAAAGTGTAATGAATTATACAAAAATACTATAAAGTACCATCTGTAGGCAAGTCTATGGTTCATCTACAAGTCAAAGAAAAAAATCTTAAAAGTCAGGCTCAGAAAGAAAAACTGATTTTCAAAGACACGAAAAGGATTTTTGACAAAAAAGATGGCAAAATTGTGGTTACGCCTCTTATTCCTCCAGTTTTAAAATAAAATATATTACAACATGTCAACATTTTTTTTTCTCTGGAGCCTGGATTTAAAGTAATTGAGACATATAATTAATATTTATTTTTACTGATAGTACTTGGCCATTTTGGAGTAGAAACATAATCCAATATTATCTTGTCTTGAACTTCTTAACAATTTTGTATCAAGTGTTATGGTTTTCATATGTGGGCTGTGCATTTCCCACATGTATTATAGTAGTCAGACCTAGGAACATATCAATGATTTGAGGGTCCCAAATGATCAACTTCTAATGGATGGATCACCCTCATTAAATATGGTTCAAATAAAAAAATTAAAACAAAAAAAGTAAAAAAAGTAAAAGTATCGGCATTATTTACAGGTTATCCTCTTTTGTTCCCCAAATTATTCTCCGTGTTTTATACTGTTCTTTGATCCTTCCCTACCTGAATTATTGCAACTTGGTCTGGTCCAACACTTACCCTTCCCATCAAACTGTTACTCCTTCAGAAGAAAGCCGTTCAAATTATGTCGGGTGCACCTCCGCGAGCCCACACTGATCCTTTATTTTCCTCCCTTGGTCTTCTAAAAATTCATGACATCAATCATCTTCAGCAATGCGCTTTTATTTTTTCATGGGTAAATTTCTCTCTGCCCCCTCAATTGAAATCATTACTTAATTTTAATTTTTATTATCATAGTCATTTTACCCGCTCTTCAAATCAACTTTATATTCCCTTTCATAGAACCACTTCTTTCCAGCAAAATATTCAATATACTGGTCCTAAGCTATGGAACAATCTCCCTCACTCCATGTATAATTCCTACTCTAAAAAAAACTTCTGTTCAAGACAGAAAAACATCTCTTATCAAGTTATGCATAATTTTCTCTTTTTACCCATTCTCGATCTCCATTACCAACTCGTTACATTTTGTTTTTGTCCCAATATTATAAAAGAAAAAAAATGCATTTCTGAGCATCCTTGTGTTTTCTGCTTTGTCTGCCTTGTCTCCTGTTGTCCTGTCCCCTGTTGTCCTGTTCTGTTTTGGCTTTGGTTTTTCTGTGTGTTTATTTCAGGGCAGCCCTACACAAGCTCCGCTTTCTGGGTTTCGCCCCTCAAACTTGGCTAGTTATTTATTATTTGCATTAATTAATTTTGAGAAATAAATGTTCTTTTGAACTTGAACTTGAATAAATCAATTTTATATTGGATCCACATCTGATATAAAGGCGCTCATACACAATTTATGGTGCATCCAGGAAACATACAAAAATAAAATATATACTATATAGAAAAATAAAATTAAACTTAAAATTTTTAAATTGCAAAATACAAAGTAAAACTGAATTCTGTACATGAAGACAAGGCTTCAGCAATCCTTGGATAGTTAATTGGTGGTGCTGTGAATTTGATAGTACTAAGCTGAATTTAATATTACTATTCAGAATAAGAACACATCTCATGTTTTCACATTGATCTTTGTAATGATTGACATGGCCTCTTGTATGAACCTCCATTTTTACTGCTTCCTGTATCAGGGCATTAGAAAATTTAAATTAAAAAAAGTCAATATTCGTTTGATTCAATTTTGTATATATTATTTTACTGACCTTTCTGTCGATTGACTGGCTTAAGATTTGTGTTAGTGTAATAATAGTCTATAAATTCATTTTATTTAATAAAATACTTTCACATGTTAAACTTGTATAGTACATATTTTTTTATTTTATTTTAAATTGTGAGCAAGAATGTATTTGATGTAGAGTCAAAAAAGAATATCTTTGTCTGTAAATCATAAATAATATGTTTTTTTTCATATTTATTATAAATGGTGTTATGTGTAACTTGTAAAAAAATTGGGATAAAAAAGAATAGTTAATAAAATTCTTTCAAATTATATAACTATTACATTTACTGCTTACAGGTGCATATCTCAACTTAGGAATGGTTTTAGCAACCCTTGAGAGGTTTACAGAAGCTGAGGAGGTATATCGGCTTGCTATTGCCATAGATAGTACAGGGTTAAAGGACCCAAGAAGTCACACAAATGCTGTTATGTCGGCCATGTTCAACTTGGGAAAACTGTTACATGATCAGGCAAAATACAATGTAAGTCAGCAATATGTGTTAAGTTTTGTTTTATGTGACAAATATGTATTGATGCATGATGATGTAATATCACACCCACATACTATATGGGCAATTTAAAAATATTTGCCAGAAATTGTTGATACAATAATTATGCTATTTTGAGGCAAATGGATTTATTAAAGTGCATTTTCAAAAGCTTATTTTGTGGGCTTCTGTACCAATCTCTCAGAAGACTTTTTTTGTAATACATTTACAAGAAAACAATTTTTTTTAAAAAACTAATAACAGGTGTTACATATGATGATATAGGTTGTTGGATCACCTGCCAACCCTTCAACATCAATGAAAAGAGTTACAATTCGCATCAATGAAACACAGTATTCATGTTCGATTTACAGGTCAAACACATTAAATTACATAGTTGATGGTAGAGCCAAATTTACTTTTATAGAGGTAGCTACTTCTCAACGTTTTCTGTTGCTTTTACCCATGATCTGTAAACCAAAGCTGTGTTAGTATTGGATTAATTTTGACCAAGGTGAAAGGTTAACTTTACTTTTTTTAAATCTCTAAAATATGCTGAGATTTTACCCTGGCTAAATACTATTGGCATTTCAAACTGTACCACACAAATTTAAACCTCTTCAAAGTTAGTTTCACAAAAAGCGCACAAATTTTCCATTATGCACAATATTAATGCATCAATATTTACAGAGTTGCATTTTTCGCATTGGACTTTTCTTCTCAAGAAAAATATCCTGGTTGTGATTTCTGGGCACAAATTGCTTTGTTCAACTAACTGAGCAGCTTAGGCAATTTGACAAAGGAGAACGTTATGTAGACTGTTTGCAACAGGGCTTTAGTTTACCAAAGTATGATGATGATGTATGTTAATTAACATGTAAGAATCTCAGCATATGATATCACAATAATGTAGTAATGACAAACATGCAACTAAATTACTTTGATGCTATTACCACATTGTTCCCAAACTGAAGCATATGATACTATATTACTGATGATGAAATACATATTCACACGTTAAATATATTAGTGTTGAAATAACATGTCCTGCATATGGTATATAATACAATTGTTTACGCTAAATTATGCTTTCTTTTTATGGATCCAATTATGCAGTTGTAATCTGCAGTCAATAATTAGATATAGAGGATTTGGGTGCATTGTAGCATTAAGTAAAGATTGTTAGTTCTATAAATTATTACAAGAATTATTACACTCATGATTAACCAATGTAACTATTGGTATTTCTGCTGGTTCTTTCTTTGGGTTCACAAATGCATTTATCATATCTTCTTTGCTAGGTTTATTGTGAATTCATCAGTTTCGTTATTGTTTTAGTATTTACTCTGTTCATTCTAGCATTAGTTATAACTATTTCTCGTGATGCCATTTCTATTTATACAAAGGCCTTATAAGGCTATTTCTGTCATATATGGGCTGGTACCCTCAAATATTATAACTTTATGACAAGCTTATTGCATTAGTACTGAGCTACGACTACAAATCTTGGCTCCCAATTAGAAACCACAGACACGCTGTCATCCGGTGGCATGTTAAGTTTAGTTTACCGTTACATTAAGCATTACTGCTCTGTTGATTTCCTTTCTCATTTACCACATTTCATTATTTTTGCAAGCCATCTTGTCTTCCATTCATTTACACTTACTATTTCCAAAGTTTAGAACTGATATTTTCCAGTTACTGGAAAAAATTCATATTTTGATTCTCTTTTGAATAATTGTTTTTCTGCTTTCTATCAACCATCCTATAGTAGTAGGTGACAGGTTCTTTTTTTTTTAATGGATGCTAATAAAAAATTTTTTTTTAGAAATGTGTACATAACTATGATTACTACATACTATGACTATTACATTTGCATTAATTCTTCAAATGAAGGGAGGCAGGCTTAACCCCATGTTAAGAGAAGGATCTTGAAAACACATTTTTTACCAGGTTATGCAATTTGAATATCCTCTTGCTGATTCTGTGTGCATTTCTGTTTATAAAAAAAAAAAAGCAGGGTTGTCATCATATCATAGTTATTTCTTCTAATGTGTAATTTTGTTTTGTTCATTAGGCTGCAATTGATGTGTTTTCTGAAGCTCTTGAGAGACGCCCAGACTATTACTTACCACAAAGTCTATACAACATGCTTGGTAAGTATTGGATGAAAAAGTACTATGTACTGAAAAGAGATGGAAAGTAGAAAACCAATATGAATGCAATAAAAATATATATGTATTAGGAAAAAGACAAGGAAATGAAATGTAACGCCAAAGGGATAAATAGCACTATCGAAATTTAAAAAGAAAGAAAAAAAATATATCGAAATATACTAAGCAATATTTCAAATGATAATAATAGTACTAGCATTAGTAGTTCAATCCATCGCTCAGTGTTATGTAGGTCATATTTATAATCACCGCACCACTCCAGAGTAAATTGTGTGGAGAGCATCCGGCAACAACTTCAAGGAATAACTATGGTGGTTTCTTTTTGTGCTGATGGCATTAAATATAGGCATAAGAAAAAGGAGTATGTTGGGTATATGGAGAGTTTCTGAGTGAGTAGGTCTAATAGTATTGGAGTTGAAAGGATCACCCCAAATACAGTGCTATAGTGAAGATGAAGAAAGGTTTATTGCTCCAAAAATATGTGCAGATCTAATATTTAGTGTCGTAATTTTATAACCTATATTTGAAAAGTTTTGTTTAAAAAATTGGTGAGCTGGAAGATAAACATAGTCTTATTGTTAGAAATATACATGGCAACCCTTTTTATCAACAATGGAATTATTTAAAAAATTGAAAAGTTTTTATGGAGAACCTACTGTTAATTACATATAGGTACATTTTATATAATTTTAAGTAGTTAATATTCGAAAAAAATCTAAAAGTGAATGACTAATTGAGCTATCTATATTGTATTTTGTAAATTATTTAAATTTTATATGTTTTATTATATATATGTATATATATATATATCTAATGTAAAAAATACATGTCAAAATAAATATTAAAATACCCGATTCATTATACCACTGAATTTAGGAATTATGGAATGAATGGAATTCCACAGTTTGGCAGAATCATTAAATAGAGAATTCTGGTAAACTGATTCCTTACTCAAGTATAAACTTGATAATGGTTTTATTGGTATAACATGTGGGACATAGATGTAGTGATAATTAGCCCTGATGGAAAACATTACAGCTTACAGTCTGGTATATTATGTTGAAAGGGTCCATAACATAATTTAACAAAGAGGTTCTTCTACCTATTAATTGACATCTTCCATTAAGATAAGTTGTCCATATGCTCGGCATACACAGCATTTTTTCAAAATTTTCTTTTATCGATTGACTTAAAGTGTGTTTGGGATCCTCAGGTGAAACATATGCAAAATTTGGTGATGCAATAAATGCTGAGCGGTTCTTCAAGGAGTCCCTCCTGCACAAGCCAGATCACGTGCCTGCATATTTGACTTACGGAAACTTACTGGGAAAAACGGTAATGCATCAACATTTATATCATTTACATTGATGTACGGTCTGCTGCAATAGAAGTTGTTACCCTATGATTTAATTTGTAGCCATCTTACAAACAAACTTTGCATAGGTTACGCTTGATTCAACATAGCAGTTTTGAACTGCTGGAGCCATGCGAATTAGGAATCAGTGAGGTGTGAATATGAGACATGTGATGGGAGTATTTATGAGCTAACTTTATCACATGTACTCACATGCCATGCTTGAGCAATTGTGGCAGACTTGAGATTTCTGTTGGGGAGAAAGATGCCCAATGGGAAGGGAGAATGACCTAATGATTATTTTCCCCTTTGCAAAACTCTCCCAGATTGCACGAAAATGTAATCAGTAAACAAATGTCATAAGAATGGAAATAATTGTGTGTAGATATTATAAATTGCAATATTACCTAATACTACTAAGTTAGAATAAACATTGGGTTGTCATTATTAATTTTTGTTTAGCATAAATAATATATGTCAAATATAGTGAACGAAAAATTATGAGGGTTTCATCACAAAATGAGACTTTTAGTACCAAACATAAAAATGAGTCTTACAAAATGTGCCCCAAAAACACTTAATATGTAAACCAATTCAGAGAACATTTGTTATTGTAAAATATACATATTTTAACTTTGTCAGTGTCTGACTTCATACATATTTTCTTGAATATATCAAATTGACTTGGCATGCAATTACAACTCATTTTGTCATGCCACCCACAAGTAACAAAAAATGAATAATTAGTAATTGAAGAATTTATATAAATTGAAACAAATATTTCCAATCCAATTATAAATTACACAAAAATATCAATTATTTGTATGTAGATTTCTTCATATTTGTTCACTAGTGGCTTTTATTTTATACATTTTTCTGCAAAACACTAAAGTTTTCAGGAATTGTTTGTTTTCCAGAATCGTGTTTTGCAAGCAGAAAAGATGTTTAACAGTGCAGTCGAACTGGAGCCTAATAATCCAAGTGTTTATCAACATTTTGGTAATTACGTTTATCTGACCTTTATACCTATATGCAAATAAGGTTATAAGTTCAGTGTTATGAATTCAATAGTAAATGGAGCAATGTTACTCGCTGCATCGTACAGTGGTCGTACAACAAACCCGACTATACTCGCTGTGAGCTCTAGATGACGCAACAGCATCTGCTGAGTGACTAACAGTCTGAATGAACCCTCATTAAAAACGATCCATCGTCATGTTGCGTTCTTTAGCGAGTGCCCGGCTTAAAGTAAAGTAAAATAAAATACAAGTAGCACCTTATTGACTAACCTTAACATTATTTAATACAAGCTTTCACCTGCAGTCTTGTCTTTATAAGGTGCTGCATCTGATGAAGACAATATGTAATTGGACATAGCTGTGTCATATAATAATAACAGACAAATATAAACAAAGTAGCACTCTATACTTAATTTATTAGATTAAATTTATTATATCACTGGCTTTCACCATCAGTGGATGCTGGCTTGGTGGGTGAATGGCACATTGAATGTAGCAGTGTGATATACATTGGTCAACTAATAAGAGAGGCGGATATAATCAACTATGTATTAAGGCCAGTAGTATACCAATAATAAGACTTAATGCACAATCATTAAACTGAGTTTGCAAATGAAATATGGCGTAGATAATAATTATTGTATAACTGCATATGTAGCATAATAGATAATGATATAGTTATGCTATAAGGATATAGGTGTAAAAATAAATGGAAGAACCACAAATTACATCTAAGTAATGTCCTAGAAAGCAAGCATCTCTATTAAGGCCTTATAAACACAATCAAGTTTGTGAATTATCAAGATAGCATAGATTACTGGCAAAAATTTGTGCAATAAATAATTTAAAAGTTAGTCAATAAAGTACTATTAGTGTTTTGTTTCAATTCTGTAAATGGAAATGGTTTAAAACAGCAATTATCAATTTTGAAAATATATGAGAATTTTGAAATTTAAACTTCTTATGTTTTAACAATATAACAGACAGTTTCATGATTGATTGAATTATTTATATTTTTGTATGTTTTTAAAATTTAATAAATATATTTTTTACTATATATTTTTATAAATATTGATATGAAAATATTTTCTTTTGTGAAGCTCAATTTTTAAACGATCAGAAACGTTATGAAGAAGCAATTGCATTATACCAGAAGGCCATGTCAATGCTTCCAGACGACTTCGAAATTATTTTCAATTTGGCTAACTCATACCGTCAAGCAGGCCAGAACATTGATGCTGAAAAATATTACAAGATTGCTGTTAAGATTAAACCTACGGTAAGATTCAATTTCTTATATATTGTAGCTACTGTAAACTTTTATTTCTGTTTTTTTATTACATCACTGGCTTTTTTTCACACAGTGGACAAATTTAGATGATAATCTTTTTATGGTCGCTCCAACACAAATATAGGAAAAATATTATGTATATTAGCAATGCCTTCTGTTGGTTGGATTTCACACTGTACTAGGCCATTTCAGAATTTATGAGCATTTACAAAATTCATAGACAGCATGAAAAGGAACAAAAAAAAACATCCATTAGGATTTGTAAGGGTAAAGCTTGGTTTTCATATAATCACTGCACATTATTGCTGACAGCTTTCAGAGATACTGATCAGTCGGTCAAATCGGGGAACCTTCCCGATAGAGTCAGGGCCTGTTACACAGTACGATTGCACTGAAAATTACTGTAGTAACGGTAACGATTTTAAGATAAGCCAGGCTAAAGATTTCCATCTGAACTATGCTTTACCACATACAATATTTAGATATCACCTCACCTATCCTATTTATAAAACACACAACAGACCAAGTAATACTTAATCTAGCCCTACAGACATGCTAATCCTACTCCTAAAACTAAACATGGTTGGCCTTTGACTCTGAGGAGCTCATCCACCCATTCAGCTATTTTTTCTTCTGCTGGGTGACCATCCACCCTCCCACTCAAGGCCATTAAGGCCAGTATTTGGGGTAGTCACCAACGGCTCGAGTGGATGATAATAAACAGACTATTATTTTATTAAAAGAGAAACAAAATAATTTAAATAATTACATTGTAATATTCATTGAAGGCATTATTAAATAGCTGTATTCTTTTACCAATTGCTCAAATATGTTTACATTTAATTTTTTTAGCTGGGATTTTTTATCCACATGCTAACATAAAAACTTACCTGGATAAAGTACATTCTCAGCTTCCACTTTGTTACATCCTGGATTAACGCAAACAAATGGTCATTAAACCAAACAAATGGTCATTAAACCAAATTTCATGTTATTGAGCAATACATTATGAGAGCACGCAGGTTAATTTACTTTTAATCATGTTATAACTAAACAAGTTTCAGAAATAAAATTCCTGGGTTTATGGGTTGGTGACCGATTCTTAAGTATAGAAATAAACAGCAATTATGGCAATTTCAAAGTAAACGTTGATTTGTACTCTGTGATTAACATTTTCTTGATCATGTCAACTTGAAGATTAGGGATCTGTTTGATTATAAAATTAATGTATGACTATATAAAAGAAAAGTACTAGTTTTGTTCGCACAAGACATTCAAGTAAACACTCAAATTCATCCATATTCTACAAACTCATTATAGGCCTTGAGAGATTTAACAGTGATATTGGTTTTTTTTTTTTTTCACTATTAGCGAGAGGAACACATTTTTATAAACAAATTTCACAGTTCCTTGCTCTGTACATTATCATTTGCATGTGTGAGTGAAATAAACTGAACTTGAACTCTAAAAGAAAATGTGGTTTTCATTGACAGCAAACTATTGTGTAATGAAAATATTTTTCTTTGTTTGCAGTCATCAAATGGACACATGAATCTTGGAGCTATACTTCATTTAAACGGGAAATTAGAGGAAGCGGAGTCAATCTATTTGAAGGCGCTACAACTTAAACCAGATGATCAGATAACTCAGCAAAATCTACGCAAACTACGAAAATTGATGGCAAAGCAGCAGGATAAGAATTTAGAAAGCAACAGAAGATAGGAAGATAGGATATATAAATTACGGATAATTTGATGGGGGTGTGGGTGTTAACAAATTTTATTTGATCTGTTCACATCAAGTAACTATTTTTAGGTTTTATGTCATTTAAGTAATTAAATATGTAACAGCCCTGTCTTCATGATTACTACCATACACCATTGCAAGTGTACACATGTCATTGTAACCATAATCACCACTCACTGTGAATGATCAAATAAGTGCTTCTCTCAAATAATAAGCACTACTCTTAAAATAAGCAGCACACCAGACAGATGTTTTTTATTAAGCGCCGCTCTCGAATAATTACTGCAGTGTTTATTCAAATTGTATTTTATTTCGAATAAGCATCATAGCACTTGAGAATATACAAATACAAAATGGTTTGAAGTGATGTAGTGAATTCTGCTTCCGGAGGTGTTGGATGATTGGAGCTACCTCACGACATTAAGTGGAGAGAGTAGTCCCAATCATCCAACAACAAGAGAAGTAGAATTCACTGCTTTACCAAAATAAAACCATTTTGGTTTTTTTTACTATACCTCATAAATATTAAACAACAAACCGTCCATCTACATTAGCCATTTCGGTCTGTGAGGGTATGATTACGCAGTTTGCATATGGTTCACATAGGCAGGGGTACGGTAGTAGATTTTGGATAGTACTTTTTTTTCCCGCATACGCATAAATTTGGCACACGCAAGGAATTATTGGAAACTACCGCACCCCTTATCAGGTAAAATTGACCAATGAAATATTATTAACTAATTAATATTTATGAGGTACAGTAATATATATTACCTGACGTGCCTTGATATTCATTGGGACACTACTTAACAACAAGACAGGCCTATAAACATATGATATCATTTTCACAATATAGAATTGTGTAACAAGAGAATTGTTTACAGTAAATGTTGATCTCAAATTAGTACCTCTCCCAAATAACAGTCACACTGAATCCTGCAATACTTTTATAAGTGATAGTCTTTAAAAATCTGCGAATATCTTCATGCCTTTATCTTTACCTACTGGTTTACAACAAAATTCTAACTTTAGCTGTCTGTGTATGCTCCAACACCAGTTCCATGATCCAACACAATGTTAGCCCTGCAGTGCACAGAAACCTCTGCTATGCCCTCCACAGTAATTCAAAACAAAAATCTTCTGGCACCTTTCTTTTCTCTTCTCTTCCCTCTTGTCAGCTGATTACATTATATTCATTTAAAGTTAATATTGTTATATCATACTTTAAGAGTAAACTATGATTATTGACATTGACACATTATAATATTTGATATTGATAATTATAATCAATATCATCAACATCTTCATCAACATCATTATTCTCATCTCATATTTGATACACTGGAGGCCAATCCAAGGCTTAAATATTTACCATTATCTATGACAAATTTTCCATGGTTATTTAAATAGAATACTTTGGCTCATATAGGAAGAACAAAAATACAATATGCATTGCATGATACATTCCTATGCATCTGAGTGATAATTTCATTAAAAAAAACATATTGCAATGTAATATAATTGCACCATTATTGTATATAGATTACTAAAGAATAAAATATTTTCTGTGATTGTAGATAAAAAGTGCAATGATTAAAAATCAATACAATTTAGTGTAAAATTTAACAAGATTGCCTTTTAATTAATAGCCATGTTCCTAAAAATGTTAAAAAAAACATGTTTTATATAATTTTTGCAACAATATTGCAAATACTCTATTCTCTTCTACATTTCCACCCACCAATTTGTGTTTTTCCTAGGCACCATAGAATAAGGTTTTGTTTGTTTTCAAATTATTGGCAAACAAGTAAATGATAGCGACATAATATTTTATATTTTTTATGACAAAGTCGTACACATCTTAATGATACGTTGAGTAATTTATTCAAAATATCCATTAAGCAAAGTTATTATTGTATATTAACCACAGTTTTACATTTAGCAATATTTAATTTTTTTGAGATATCTATGCCTGTTAAAGAGCATGTTTATTGTATATGCAAAATATTAAATTTTTATCTAAACAAAGCAGACTTGAATTCAATTGTGTTATTTAAGAAATGTGTTCATAACAACCATTGTCTTCATAATTTAACATTAAAGATACCAAATGTTGAGGTAATGAACTCAAATGAGGAAAAACAATATTTTAATTGTATATTTTAAAAAGTTGTTGAGTTTTTAATTTAAAAATATACACGCAAATTATTGAAAAATGTTTGTAGGCAAAAAAAACTTGAAATCAGCAAAAACTTGAATAAGCTGAAATATTTCAATATGTGTTTCTGTTAGAAACACAAATTGATTCCTAAATGAGAATTGTTTTTGATTGTACCAAAAGATAGTATGTGTTTAGACATACTGTTGCCTAAAAAACTTAATTTATTAATTTGTAATCTTTTAAAAGTTATTAGTTTTTACCAAAAATTAGAATGAGAACAAAATTTCCCTGCCACTAAATAATGCCATTCTTATTGTCTTTGCATACCTTTAAAAATAATACTTGAATATACATACCCTTAAATTTCAGTCAGCCATTTATGGGAGGATTTGTTTATCAAAATGAGTCAAAGGTGCTGCAACCTTCAGCCATGGTTCAAGTGGCACACTCATATATGGTTTTGTAATGAGTAGGAGGTTTCCCTTTTACTCTGGCACTCCGTGATTTCAACATCACAACATAATTTGGAATAATTACAACAAAGCAAAGCTTTATATTCTGATTAAAATCACATTGTTTAGTGTTTCATTTTTTCCTATTATTTTAAGGCACTATTATTTTGATTTTAACCACACTGACCTTTTCAAACCTATTCTGTTATTGTAATATGCCATCATAAAAACTGTTATTGTATCTCTTGCATAAAATATCAACATAAAGTAATATATCTAACAAAAATAAAAACCCATCAAACACAGGAATTAAGAAGGGGTGGTGGGGGTGGATATCCTGTGAGAGCCAGGGTAGAAATGAAGAAATCGCCCTGGTTCAGGCTTATAACACATTAGAATTGAAAGGTGACAAGAATCAATCAAATGTAAACGGAGGCAACAACCAGATTACAAATAAGCCATATTATTTTACATTTTTTCACTGGGTAAACTTTCTGTGCTTAATTTTTTGCCACTTTTCAAATTGGGTGTTATTTTATGAAAAAAACTGTTGGGATGCAAAAAAAAAAGGGCAGCAAAGAAAAAAGTGGAAACAACCAATCAGTAAAACAAAGTAATGGAAACAATCAAACAGAATGATAAAGAAGCAACAACAAAATTTATTGGAAGGCCCAAGGGGGAAATACTAAAAGAAATTAGATTTAAATTAATATCAAACCACTTGGAATAAAAAAAGAGGCAACACCAATTCCATTGGAATATACATAAAAACTATAAAAGCGACAAAATTGAAAAACAAAACCCACAACAATGAAAAAAGAGACAACCCTTTACGATAAAAAATAGGTGGGAGACTAGTTATTGTTTTTAATTAAATATCCTTTGTTATTTTTCTTTATACATGTATTAGAAAAAAAAAATTCCTATAAAGAATTGTAATTTTTATTTCTCCTGATTTTATTGATTTCTGAATTGTCTTGTCCAGGAATGGCACACTTATTGATAACCTTTACAATAACTTGAGGTTACTTGTCCGTGTATTATATTTCATTTCTATTTTCCAATTATCTTTAATGTCCTCAACAATTTTTTTCATTAGTGTTGCTATAGAAACAGCTAATATTGACGGGTTTAAATTATTATCTAGAACATCATTTGTCAAAAATAAATCATCCGATCTGATCACATGGAGTTGGCGGTGCCTTTTGATAAGTGTATAATAATTATACCTTATTGTTTTTAACAATTAAATATTATTTCTGCACCCACAATGATCACTAGTAAAACGTCCCAAGGGCAGACCAAATAACACGTCAGTGCAAACCATAAAAAGGACTCGGAGCAATTTAAAATGAAGATGGGTAAATGAGAAGCAAGGGAGTTGGCCACTAAGACTTGAGTGGAATATTCTGATCGATGAGGGTGTTAACGCTAAGTCTACAAAAGATCTATAAGCTACCAGATGATAATGTACAGCACAAATTACAATACAAAGGTAATAATAATACAAAGGTAGAAACTCAACGAACTTGTGCAAATATTATATGCCATACTTCCAGCACAAGAACTTTAAGTTACAGATTTGTAATTGAGGAGGAAAATGGTGTGGTGTGTGGGGGAAGGTCAGTGACAATTTCAAAGGGGCGGGGGGTGATGTTGAGATTTTTGTTTAGAAATGCTTGACCATAGACACTGGTACATGGAAATTAAAAAAAATGTGTTGTTTTGGAGTACCATGCTTCTCCTTTCTTTTCTCCTGTTTTAAGTTCTCCCTTTTTTAGGAGGTGGCTGCCCTTCCTCAATTCCCCGCTGCCCTGGATCTCTGGATGATGAAATTTAAATTTGTAATTGCTTGCAGCATTTAACAAAGTACATTGTACAATATATTTTTGATTTGTATTTATTTTCAAGACTTCATTACAGTCAAAATTATAAATAGTTAAAGATATAAATTATAAAGGTGACAAGTATATGAATCAGTTTTTTTTTAATGAAACGTACAGTATCTGACTCATTGGATTATGTGTTTACGCCTGAGATACAAGCTCATTATTGTGTAAATCATAATGATGAAGAAGATAGCACTTTACAGACATAACATATATTTAATACTCTTGAGCTTTTAATTGCCCAGTGGACTTCTTTTGAGACATTCTCATAAGACTCTCATCAAAAAATCTGTGTGGATGAAAGCTTGAGAAATCAAATTTATGTTGCTCTATGTCTGTAAAGTGCTGTTTATATTGTTGTTTATTTAACCTGGGAAATACTTGATCCCCTTAATGGTACTTACACGGGATCAGCATAAAATCGCACTCACAAAAATACATTAAATACAACAGCAGCAATAACATTTGTATATTTTACCGGCTATAACGAATATCTTGCATTGGAGTGCGCCCTCACTACACATACAAAAAAAATACTGTTTAAACGTATATGCATACTACTGGTGGCTAAATATCCGCTGCCTAATAATAATTAATAAATAATAATGTTAATAAACAATAACAACAATAATAACAACAATAATAATAATAATAATAATAATAATAATAATAATAATAATAATAATAATAATAATAATAATAATAATAATAATAATAAAACTTGGATGATGATACATAAAATTTAACATTTAATGACTAAGCTAAAATTAAAACTTCAAGGACAAAAAAAGAACTAGGGCAGGTAAAGCAACTGAGCAACTGAGTTATTTCATGTAATAAAGTCTAGACAACAGTTGAATGGCAATGTAGCGATTGAATGATGGATGCGCCGATGTCTTGAGAATTGATGTTTCTTCGGCAATCAAAGAACGTGGCTCAAAGAATGTGGTATGCAAATTAAAATAATAATACTAATAATAATATTTCATAACCAAACTGTGATGTACTTCAGGTCATTAAGAAAGTAATAATTTGCATTTAAATCACACACAGTGAAAAGTTATATTCTCAATAAGCAAACTCACATCACACCAAAGTAACAACTTGCATAGGCAGAGACAGACAGTTGTATTTTGTAAGCATGAATAAAACTTAAACAAATCTAAGTCAACATAATTTAAAAGCAGTTTTATAATTCAATTACTGTATAAGTGTTTAGTATAAATGCTATGAGTGTATATAGCAGCTCCCATCTCTTTCCAAATTTTATTAGGAGACGGGTGGGCAACCATTCTGGGACAGGACTTAAACAAAACATTAAAATCAATTAAAATATCACATTACAACTGTTCCTAAATGTTCGCAGCCAGATAAAAAGAATTATTATTCAATTACTGTATAAATACTTTTAAGAGAAATAACATTATTAGCAGCTCTCACCTCTTTTCCATAAAATTTCAAATGTGTAGGTGAGGGTGGGGTGGGGATGGCAACACATATCTGGTATGGCAATATATATGAATTAAATTTAAATTAAATACATTATAAATGTTTATCGATTTCACATTCAAATTAAGATAGAAAAAGTATTTATTCATTCATTTAAATTTAAAACAAAAACAAAAACGAACACACACAATAGGAGATCCGTCCTAACAAGTTGATTCAGTTACGGTATGTAAGGATTCTTCCTCAATCATGTGAAGTGGAAAGTAAAACCCACAGAAGGTTCCAGAATAGTGTCTGCCTAGAGCCTTCCTTAGTTGATGTGGTATAAATGAAAGACGGGAAAATTATTGAATAACAATTTTGGATGTAATTTTTTATAAATGGGCATTTTGCATTAATTTTGATGGTTATTCTTGGATTTTTTTTTTATAATGTATATTATTTAATGCCAGATGCAGTTTTTTTAGATAAAATAATATTAAACTATTATTAGAGTCTAATAATGCATTTCATATATTTAGGATGTTAATCATTTCTTATGTTGCTGTTACACTGGGAAAAATGGGATTTGGCAAGCTCGATTTCACAATTTTTGAGTTTTCAATTTGGCATTCGGCAAACTGGGTTGCGGTAGTGGAGACGGCAATCCGGATTAACAATTGTTTTTAAATCATTTTCTACCTTCATTAATTGTTATCAATTTGCAATTGTTTTTAAATTTTTGATCGAGAGTCTATTTTATCATTGTGCTATCTCAATTTTACTCTTGTTACTGGATATGTTTTGTACTTGTTATGAGGGCCTCTTTGAGTCAGCCTCGCTGTGCCCTCATAAAAGAAAGTTGAACAAATAAAATAAATAAATTATCACAAATACTTATTATTAAGCCGCATTCACATTGCTACATATCATTATTAATGTTGTTACTTATTACATTTATACGGAAGCGTAATGCTGCGAACGTAAAAATAATGTTAGGCTATCTGGTACGTAATATTATACGAGATTATCTCGTAAATTATTTTACGTTGCCAGTAATACGCCTCCGTACTTCCGTATTTTTATTATTGTGTTATTTTATCGTTCTTATTTATACAGTATTGTGCTGACGCTACATTTTTTTTATCAATATATTAATTATCATTACACAACTTTTTAATTATCATTTTTTGTTATTTTTTGTCGTTATTTCATCGTATATA